GACCAACTGCTCAGGGGCTCCATATCTAGGAAATACCTCCTGAAGCATTATTTTTTTATACTGTTTGTGCTTTCTTATCAGGTATCGCGAAAGCCTCTGGCCAATTCGTCAGCCAGTTCACGAAGCTTACTATATACGCATTTTCCACGAGGAGTTTCTCTAATTTTCTCCATAGGGCCCTGAATTATCCATGCCCACCTTCTGAAATGGGTAATTTGGAATATATGTTTCCATCACTGGGGCGACCCTATTATTTCTACTCTATGACTGACACATTATACACTTGTTCACATAATTCAATACATCATTATACAGTCTAGCCCCAAAATAATTCCTGACTATTAATTCATAGATTCTATCAACCCCAATGTGTTCTACCTTTTCATGACACTGGGTTAAGATTTTTGTCTAAACATTTTTGGTACTACTATTTTGAGACTTATTTCTTCTTCTCATCCCGAAAGTTAACTCAATACTCCATTGTGTATAACATATTTAGAGGTAGAACCTGCCTCTACCCTACTCCTAAGAGAAGTAATTTCGCTATCTTCCTGATTCTTCACTATGACAGCTTCCCAATGAGGGTCCCTAATAATTTCTTCTTCTTCATCTTCTTCCTCCCAAACTGGACGTTTGCTTAGAGTGTGAGAATCTATCACATTAACTTGATATGCCCTGTCGTCCACCCCTGATTCTAACCTAATGAATTCGGACTCTAATCTTTCTGGAATTCTTGATAACAGATCTGCACAGTCTAACGTAATAACCCTGCCTGTTGCAGTTTTGTCCTGTCTCCCCGGTGATTCTGGCCGAAAAAGAAATCCACCCGATCTTCCTCTGATGAACTGAAGGAACCACCACTATTAGCCGCGTTGTGAATTCTTGATCCGAACAGCAGTGTCTCGATCTCCCCAGAACGATCCGGTGGGAAGGGGAGGAAATCGCTGGGTATTTCGCTGAAAGGAAATCACTATTCATGCAGCAAAAGTTTCTTGTAGCCGCAAACACATGAAAAATAAAAAAAATGAGCAACTCCTGTTCCTGTACAAAGGGCCCTATTTAGGCCACTGTTTTTTATGTCTCTACCGAAGAATTTACACGAGTACAAAATGTCGTAACGAGATTCACTCGTTTGGGTCGGAAAGTCACAGAGAGAGAGTAGGAAAATTTCTGCCTAAACAATTTCGGCTGATCTAAGGAAAGTAATTCGTGGATCTTCGTCTACCCCCTACGATATAGCAGTCTGCCTTCTCGCAGCCTTGTTGACGAAGTTATCTGGATTCGTACGGGTTCTATTTTGATCTCTTGGCTCGGATCGGTCTTCTTGACACAAGGCAACCAACAGACCCAGACCAGCAAATTCTAACAAGCCGCCTCTTCCGCGTTTTGATCTCCGAATTCCGAACTCATCTGACTAACTCAAGCGTGCAGGCAACTTATATAGAGAGAGGCGGAGCTAAACCATCTTTAGGCACCGCCCCCGAATTTTAATATGCAAATCGCCTGGACCACCTAATCTCCGGATCTCCGCGGGCAACCAGTTTTCAAGAGGTACTAAAATCGGATTCGTACCTCCTGCTGGATCTTCCGCAGACAACGTATACTTAAATTTTACCAAAACCACTTATCCCGTCTGGTTGAATTCCGCTATTCAGACCACCCAAAAATCCAATTTGCCATTTATCACAAACTTTACTTTAACGAATCCGTCTCTTAATCACTTTGGAATTATTACATGTAATTAACTAATAACTCAACCCCAGAAACAATTATAAAGAGAAAAAAAACAAGAGAAAAAAAAACAAACTTATTTCTGGAATTACTCCGGGATCCCTTCTACCCAAGTAATTAGCACCTTCATTCTAATTCTTTAGCACTGTTGATTACTAAATCCACCTCGGGGTGGGGTGGGGGTCTCTCTCTCTATGTCACAATTCCTCCCTTACCCACCTGTCATTTACTAGTAAATAACACATGAGATGTCATACCAAAAATAAGACGATAATAGAAACAGGGTCGTTCAGCTGTCCTTGCTGGAAGTTCATGGTTCTCCGGCAATCTGGTCTGACTTCAACTGCGAACAATTCTAGAAATAAAAACATGAACAAGAACAGACAAGAAAATACAAAGTCGAGATATAGTGTTCCGAGTCCTTTTCTGTTTCCTTTCAGAGCGTCTTTATAAAACACATTGTCGTGCTTTCACTGAATAAGATTCATTGTTCAGATTTTCATATGCAAAACAAAAAAAAAGTTTGGTTACTATGAGAATATTTTTTTCATTGATCTCACAACTATTGGTATTTCCATCCAGTTCACTACTTGGGATACTCCCATATCCTCACCAACTCATTTGTCTCTTCATTCGTCTACATATGTTAAACACTCATTTTTTTTTTCAAAAATTAAACACTCCTTTTTTTTTCAACATTAACACTTATTGTTTTTTTTCAAAATCTTGTCTTACGAGTGGTCCGGGTCTTAACAACAGGCCTCGTTAGCCTTTTTACGGGTTCCAGTTCTCTCACAGCAGTTGTGGGCTGTTCTCCCACATTGGCTGCAGGTTCTAGTGCATCTCGGTCGAGGTAATGCGCACGCTCTGCACTTCCATTTTCTGCCAGTTCAACTTCCACACTCGACATTCTCACTTGTCTCTTTTTCCACCACCACCAACTCAAAAAAGCCATACCGATAATTAATATAATCCCCACAACAGTCAATCCCCATGTGTCCTAACTTTCTATGGCACTGATATAAGATCTCAGACCTCAACTTTTCGGGTATAACCATCTTCAAGCTTACCTCCTGATCTTCCCAATTAGGTCTCCTTTCCAACCCGTGTGAGTTAATTACATTAATCTGGAAGGCCTTATCGTCCACACCTGGCTCTAACTTGATGGACTCCGTTTCGGTATCCTCGATAGCAAATCAGCACAGGTGTTATCCCTCCTGGCTAGGTACTCTATTTTACAGTTGTACCCACTTAGCTTCAGCGCCCATTGTTGGATCTTTTTGTTCGTCCATTCTGCCTCTAGCAGGTATTTGAGGGGCTGGTGGTCTGTCTTAATGATGAATATTGCCCCACTCAAATAATAATCCAACTTCTGCACAGCGTACAGGACGGCGAACGCCTCCTTCTTGATCACCGGCCATCTTTGTTGGGACTCGGAAAGCCGATGAGAAAGGAAATTAGTACCTCTTCAGGCACCCCCGGTACGGGTCCATCCTTATCAGGGCATGGTTGCGTGAGTACTGCTCCGATGCACCTATCACTAGCATCAGTGTACAGCACCATGGGCTTACCTAAGTCTGGGTACGCTAACAAGGGCACAGCAGTCAGCTGGTCCTTTAAAGCCTGAAATGCACGCTGGCAATCCTCTGTCCACCTAAACCTGGCGTATTTCTTCGTCAGGGCTATCAGAGGACACGCCAACCGACTAAATGCGGGTCTGAACCTCCTATAATATCCTATGGCCCCTAATCTCCCTTACAGTTTTCGGCGCGGGCATGGACCTTATTACCTCTACTTTGTCTAGGTCGGTCTTTATCCCGTCCTTATTTATCACGAACCCTAGGTATTTTGTCTCTTAAAAACTGACATTTTGACAGCTTCAGCTTCAAGCCATGCCTCCTTAGGCGGTCGAACACCCGCTGCAGGTGTTCAAAATGCTCCTCAGGCGATTTCGAAAACACCATGATATCGTCTAGATATGCCGTGGCAAACGTCTCCATGCCATTCAACACTATGGACATGAGCTGACTAAATACATCCGGGGCATTTGCCAACCCAAACGGCATAACCGTAAAATTGAAAAGACCCATGTGACAGGTGAACGCGGTCTTTTCTTGGTCCTCCTTGTTCAGGGCCACCTGCCAATAACCCGATCTCAAATCCAAGGTGGAAAAACATTTAGATTTCCCTAGTAGAGCCAAAATGTCATCAATCAGGGGGAGAGGTACTGCTAGCGGTTTTGTAATCGCGTTCAGCTGGCGAAAATCCACACAAAACCTGTGCCCTCCACCTTTCTTTTCCACTATCACTATAGGGAAGCTCCAGGGAGATTTGGATCTCTCAATTATCCCCGAGTCCATAATCTCATTCACTGCCTCCTCTACTAATTTCCTTTTGTGGATTGGGGTTCTATATGGCCTTAATTTGATAGGTGGGGGGGGGTCACCGGTGTCTATCCTCATCTCCACTGTCTCTGTCTGTCCTAGCTCCTTATCTGTCATTGCTCCCGGTTTCTACTTAGCAAACTTCTTAATTCTCTTCTATAACATTCAGGGACTGTTATGTGCTCGTCCCTTAATTCGCTAATCTCTCTCTTGTTCCAGGACCTATCTTCATTTCTTATCCTCACCTGTTCGACTTCCCTTACTCTTCTCCTCGCTTTATTTTGACGGTTTTATTAGCCGAATTAGTCAGAAGCAGGGGGACGGTCCTTGATCCTTTCACTAATGAACTACATACTGTCACTTCTCCCTCATTATTATCATACCCTTCCGTAGGGGTTACCTGATACAAGCCATCATTCAGGGCTCTCTCTACTATAATTTCACCATCCCCAGATACAATGGTTCTAGGGGGCAACTTTTTATCTTTCTGGGCTAATACAGGTAGCTGCTCATAATTGTCTTCTCCTAGCGGTATCTCTACCCCGTCCAAGGTCAGGGTGGCTGGGTCGAAACGGATCTGGGCCTTGTGCTGTTTAAGCCAGTCACTCCCCAGAATCAACTCGCCCCACAAGTCAGGTGCCACATACACTTTCATGATACCTCCAGTCCTTGCTAATTGAAACGGCAGCCATGTCATGCCCTCATCTTACTGCTATCGGCCTGGCTTATAGATAAATCTACTGGCCTCAACTTTCCCCATCTCCTTAACTGTCTGTAGGTCCTCGAACTAACCAGTGATACTGATGCTCCAGTATCAACCAGGGCCCTAACCTTCCTGCCTCCCAGCAAGACATTGCAGGTGAGATCCGGTCCCTCCTTCAGCAAATGTTACACTCGGGCCTCCCTTCCATCTTTCCTATTCGCCTCCATTCTGGACCACCGAGAGGCAGGGGCCAGCAACTGGGGTTCCTTATTTCTTCGGGGTCCCATTTCTCGTCTGGGGGCCCTTCTGGCTGTGGTTTGGATGATAGCGCCCTTCCGCTCTATCCCTCTGTCCCTCCATTTCATTCCTATCCCGGCCGGTTCGTCCTGGGGGACTCCCTCCCCTGTGGGGGCAGGATCGCCTCATTGGCCTGCGCCCCCACAATGCCAGCATCTTCTCCGCTGACAATCGGCCGAAAAATGACCAACCACTCCACACGTCCAACATTTCAGAGGTCTTGCTCGGACTGAGGCCACCCTGCCTCACGGATGACCCAGCGACGTTTCCCGGGCTCTTTGCTTTTCTGGTGGGTGGTAACAGCGCAGTAGTCCGCTTGATTTACGGTCCCCTGTCGCCGTACACCACCGAGCCTTGTGCTCGTATTCGCCACAGGTCATACAATTGGGTCCCAGTGACCTGGGGTCTCCTACCCAATTGGTTGGACAATCCCGAGCCCTGTGCCCAGCGTATTTACACGTCCAGCACACTAGCCCGTACCGGCCTGGCGTGGATTTATAGAATCCATACCGCAAGTCCCATTCTCGTTTATTCGGATCTGCCTCCAATTCCCAATTTTCCTCTACTTCTTCGTCCGGGTCCCGTGCCCGAACCTGCTCCTTCTTTTTCATTATCTTGGTCCCCCCTGGGGTCCCTGGCTACGCTACCCCTTATTCTGTCCCAAAGTCGTTCACTGTTGCGAGCTGCTTCAATGGCCGCGGCCAGGGTGCTCGGTCCTTCCTTCAGGACGTCATCCCACCCATGCAATTCGGACCTAGAGACCTGGGGTCTCCTCCCCAATTGGTGGCGCAGTCTCTGACTCAGTAATTGCACGTCCAGCATACCAGCCCGTACCAGCTCGAGTGGACTTATAAAATCCGTACCCTATATCCCATTCCTTCCGATGTGTCTCAACGGCTGTTGTGATGCGTCTAGTGTGTCAGTCTGTAGTGGTAGTGCTTATCGCTTCTCGCTTTCAGTTACCACTGCTGGCTAGCAGAAATGCGAAAAGGGGAGCTGAGTGCGTAAGTTTTCCCCTGCCAGTAAGTTTTCCCCTGCCTCTCCATCAGCAAGCCCTATGTAGTGCCTCCTCGTGGCGACACATGGTAACCATGCACCTTGCGGACTCGGGCTAGACTACAGGGGACGGGGGAGGAGTTGGTCCCCTTAACATGCGGCATGCAGACCCACCGATATGTGGACATGCCCAGGTGCCCATGAACCAAACCCCAGCTATGGGTAAAATAGCTCCACTGCCTTGTGGAAATCTTCGGGAGAAGGAAAGGCCAAGGCGTAAACCCTACACAAATCCGGAGTGGAGCCCTAAGGCGGATGGACGGCACTCTGTGCTACCTTCTGGCAACTCCTGCAGCCGCACTGGTACCAAACTGTATTGGTTTATCCTCTCCTTTAGGACGAGAGAAGGAACTAGACGTCTGGGCAGTAGAGCACTGGAGAGGACACTCCAGCGACGTCGCAAGACATCGGCACAACGCGCTACTCCATCGTCTCCCGAGACGGACGGATGCCGAACCGAAACGATATCGCATTCCTTCCGGTTGGGGTCGGCCTCGGCCTCCCAATCCTCTTCTTTCGCGTCCTTACGGGGTTCTATGTTCACTATCCCATTCCTGGAGCCATTATCTGTACTTTTCCAACCCCGGGTTTGGGTTTCCTGGTCTCTGCCCTTTTTACCGTCTCCCTGATCCTCGCGCTATTTTTAGCTACCTCTAGGACCTACGTCAGCCTACGAGGCCCACCGTTCAGGACGTCTCCTCTCATGTCATCATCACGGATGGCGTCCATGAATGCATCCCCTAACAACGCCTGAATCGCCCCATTTTCTCTTCTTTCCGGATTCGGGAATGCTAACCCTGCTAATCCCGTCATCCTATCTCCAAGGTCTTCTAGAGTTTCCTCTACTTCCTGTTTAATCCTAAACAATTTTCGAACCGCCTCTATGGTTGTTCACTCGCTAGCATATCGCCTGATTAGGTTTCCCTTCAGCTCGTCCCATATTATCTGGGAATTTTCCCTGTATAAGCCTCCGATAAATTTTGAGACTGGTCCCGCTGCTGCCTCATATGCCAACAGCGCCATCTCCCGGTCTGTCAACCCGTATATCAGCTGTTTCTTTTGTACAGATACCAACCAATTATGAAACTCAATCGGGTTGCCTCGGTAGGAGGGTAACTTACTCCCACCCAGCAGACTCCTAAAGGCCATCGTTATTTCAGAAACCGTAGGTTCGCCTTTCGTACTGTCTGACCCAGCGATATTCATCTATTCTAGCGGCGTTCCTCAATTAATAGGTAAATTTGAAGGACGAGGGTGACACGAAATCCTTACTGGCTGTTTTCGTGTACCACAATTGAGCGAGAAAAAAAACAATAATCGAGGGAAACCAAAAAGTAACTTACCTGTGGTGAGCTTCTGCTGTTGTTTGTTGTTCCTGTAACTATCGGCTCTTCGGGTCAATATAATCTTCCGATTCCAATGTCTTCTAAGTAATTCTTGGGTATAATCTTTGGTCGCAGCGTCAATTGTAACTCCTTTCCTTTCCTTTAATGTCCTCCGGGTATATATGTTGGGTCGAATCCTTGTCACGGCAACAAATTGTAACACCGTATCCTCAGTCCACTGGACCCACACACTCCACAGGACCGACCGTTGGTCCAGCATAGTCCAGTATTATAGGTCTCCGGTTCCCAATATCAATTTGAAGCCACCCTCCAGCCACCTGTGAGTTCGTCGGACGAGAATCGGGTTAACAGAAAAATAAATATAATCAAGTCGATTCGATTTTGAAAGGACAAAGTTTATATATATATATATATATATATATATATATATATATATATATATATATAAATAAAACAAACTTAAAAAATAATTCTTGTTGCACAAGGTTGAATGTTTCTTGTATGTGAACAATAACCAAACAAACACAAATACTTCGAATAATTTCGGTAAAGGAGAGATGCGGTCTTCGTTTTAACCATTTTTGGTCTGTTCTTAGCGCAACCACTACAAACTTTGATGTTTTCGTTTTCAGTAGTAGTAGTATTAGTAATAGCAGGATTAGCGGTACTTAGATATTAGCGGCGATATTTCAGCTCTTCACCCTCAGCTTCAGCAACACACAGTGGACGCTTCCTTTTCAATCTCTGAGGTCTCTCCACTCAGTTCGAAGACAGACAAACCCAGAAAACTCCTTCTCCTCCGGTTGGCTTGCCTCGTTGTTAAGAGAAACGGCCTCACTTATCCCAGACTGGTGACGTATTTGTTTTTCTAGTGCAAACGTACTGGCATACTATCAAAGTACAACTTCTCTCCTCCGAGAATAAACAATTTACTTTTTCATCGATTGGTTTCCAAGGTTCACAGCAAGAGGCTATTGTTTATCACCTCACTATTAATTATTCCACCGTTCTTTGTAAACTGCAGAGATTCTTGTTTTAAAAATAAATTCTAGATCAAAACATCCTTAATTTTAACTTCGATTCTTATAGTGTCAAAATCCATTTAAAAAAAAAATGTTTCAAATTATTATTGTTCCAGTAATTTTCTATTAGCAATCTGATATCTTTTGTAAACTTACAAAAAGATTGTATTTCGTGTTCTAAATTTACTTTCTGTAACATTTACATTTCAAAGTCTTTACAGCATATTAACATCTTGGTTATTCGAAAACGCCCCTCTTTCACTTGGTATTTTCTGTTTTACAGCATATCCTCCTTTATTATCATTATTATTATTTCAAGGGTGATATCGCCCCTGCTACCGGTGTATTCTGTCGTTAGACAAAATCAAGATAGGGAAGGATAAAATAAATACGGCCATGGGAAAGAAAAAAGCTGACCTAAGTAGTGCCAAAAACAAACTGGAGAGGTTGGGAATCTCGACTTGAATCATAAGCAGAGTCAACAGGCCAGGAACGACATTACTCACATTAACTAGGCACACAAAAAGGGTCTAGCTTAACCAGGGGTGGGCTCCACAGGAAACCAACCCGATGTGACGTAGGGAAAATCTAGGCTAGCCGTGTTCAAGCGAGCTAGGCTCGTCACAGTAACCTAGATTTCACTAAAATCTGTCGAAACTAATTGCTTTCTATTAGTTCTAATTTTCATCTTGCGCCGATGCTCGAAGAATCGGTCACCTCGCAAGATTTTCTCCATTCACGTCGTCCAAATCACCATTCGAGCCGTGGCCAGCAGCGATAGAAACACCATCCGTTTCAGCCCAGAATAGGTGAGGGGACGACACACTGTCAAACGCGTATGCATGATTAGTGAGCACGAGCATTTCGGGAGCGATACGAGCCGTCAACTCGCCGACAAAGTTCTATAGGGAGCGGACACGATGACAGTGGTAGAAGGCGTGCGAAGCCGTTTCTTCCAAGCCAGGGTCACATCATTGACAGTTTGGCAAATCCGCCAAGTCCCACATGAAGGCCTTGTCATTAAGAGATAGCCTATTCCGAACTAACCCCCAGGTAAGCGAAAACTCAGAGTTGCTGAGATAATCCGCCGCTGGCGCCCAAGACGCCACTCTTCTGCCGACAAGCCACTCCTCCTTCGCAACCCCCTCCGGTATTTCACGATAGAAGACCTTCCTAGGCCGAAATAGATCACTGGATCGAGGAACGACCTTCAAGGCCAATCGACATGCAAGGTGGAAACTTAATTGATCCCTGGGCTTACAAAGACTCTCGGCCCAGAAGATAAGGCTAAAAAATAATAAGAGAATGATTGAGTAAGACGAATTATTCTCTCTATCTCTTTGCAGACATGGACGAGAGGAGGCCCGCGGTTACTGATGATGCTGGTTTTGGTAGTTTATACCTGGGAACACAGTGAGGATACTGTATTTAAGAAGACTAGTGAAGTGATTATAACGAGATCAAAGTGGTTGATAACTTTGGTGATAGACCTGCAGCCGTATGAGAAGTTAGTGGGTCAGTTGAAGACCGAAGTGGACAAACTAGATACAGCCAGGACACAAGTCGCCGGTGACTATTTACAGACTCTGGAATACCATCGTATATTATACCTCTTAGCTCAGGAATCCCTAATACTTGGGACAATGGAAGGATATGAGTTATTATTGGAAATGAATAATGTTGTTACAGACCAGGCAAAAGAGGGCAGTATTACTTATAATGGAAAAGGCATTAAGTGTGTTGTTTGGTACAGTCTCCAAAGACGAAGTGAGAGTAAGTAAGAGGAAATTAAAAGTGGCAGAGCAGAGGCAACAAGCTATGGCTCAGTCAAATGGAGAGAGCGTATCCATACTCAATGTTACCAAGCTGAAATTGGCTAAGAATAGAGGGAGTATCAATTGGTTGATTTCTCACATACAGGTTTTTAGAAAAGAAGTGATAAATGTAACCACGTCTATAACAACCGAATTACAGCAATTAGAAGGGTTTTTTTTTTCATTTTTAGTAATGAGACTGAGATAATTGGTAAAGAGTGTTGCGAACTTCAAAAGAAAAAAAAAAAAAAAAAAAAAAAAAAAGGAAAGAACCCTCAAACTAGTGAACAATGTGAAAAGGTTCTATTGCATGAGATCACCGTGTGAAGTGAACTTTAACCGGGAGTTGCATGTACATATGTATCGTAAGGACAATGAAAATGTAAATGGGCATAATGAGCCCTAAGAAGAACTGAGGACTCTACCTTTGCATGCTGGAAGAGATGTATGTTTAAGTAGCCCCCTAGTAAGAAGCATGTTGGACTGGGTTTTCTCATATTTTGTTGATATGAAAGCTCGTGTGTCATTTACTAGTAAATGACAGATGGGTAGGGGAGGAAATGTGACAGAGAGAGTTTGGGAAACACACACACATTTTTTTGAGTGAAAATGGACTAGCGAAATTGATCAGAGCTTTTCGTTTACTGGTGGGAAATTTGATCTAGAGCAGAAGTTGTACCCATTGAATCTGGGTCATCAGCAGACAATGGAAATGGGCGAAATAATTTTTATCGATTAAAAATAGAAATAGAGCTGTGTAAGCTAGAAGGAACTTTAGAATTAACATGATTTTGGTTGAAACAGCCAAAACCCCATGATAATCACGTGCGAAACAGTAGGGCCATGGTTCAGTTGTAACCAGTCGGTTTTTTTATATAAACGCGTAGTTATGCTGAAGAAGACACAGTCGGGCGAGCCGGCAGACGGGCGAGCGTTAAGACGGAAGAGAGAGACGGAAGAGAGAGAGGGTGACGGAAGAGGCAGACGAGTGAGCGTGCAGACGGAAGAGAGAGACGGAATAAACAGACGGAAGAGGCAGACGGAAGAGAGAGAGAGATAGAAGAGAATAAGCCCGGCTGTCTCTAGCCCGGGCAAGAGTTGGGCTCGAGACAGTGGAGAGTCGAGTTGGAGACTCAAGAAAGAGAGAATGTGACGTCAGAGATTGGAACAAAGCGTCCGCTAACATGTACTGTTGATATAACTACCGCTGCTTCTGCTACCACGAATATTACTACTACTGTTACTACTGCTAAGGAGGAACGCCACTATAAACTTTAAGCCGCGCACAGAAATCTTATTCCCTCCTTGCAAGAGTCGTATATCGTTCTGAGACGATTTGACAACAACTTAATCATAACAGACACTCTCTCTCTCTCTGTCCAGAATCCAGTGTATGCGTTTTTACGTCAATTACTTTTCTTTTCTGTAACCCGTTTCTTTTCTATACTATTCTTTTCTGCTATATAAAAGACAATTCAATCATCTAAATTTCTTAGCGCAGACTCTCCAGCCGTGTCTACATCTTTAGTCGACCATGAATGGATGAACATCACTTCTGCTTTCTGGGTCAAA